ACCTTTTATGGCTCACTCAGGAATTCTGGGAGTTGAAGTCCATAAGTGATAAAAGAGCCAAGTTTCCCTACCCCTGACCTAGACCAAGCCAAGTCCAAAAATGTTAGGGAATTTCTGGAAGACTGGCACTCAGACAAATTAGCCATCAATAAACATATAAACAAATCTACATACTATGCAAAAAGAGATAATCAACAAGCCAAGATGGGAACAAAACAAAAACAAAATACCTCCCCACCAGCAATCAGCACCCAGATGAGCATAGATTAACTCTTAAGATTAACATCAGACCTACAATCAAGTAAACATACCCCAATCAAGGACTTACCAAACAAGCCAACAGTAAACAGCCCAATCAAAGAACCTCTAAGACCATGACCACCAACATGGATAGGGTAAGCTACTAGAATATAAACTTAGAGCAAACCCCACTTGTTACTAGCATTTATGTTACCTAGTTTGGGTAATGAAATGTCTAAGAATACAACCAAGGGAAAAAGCACCAAGGACCCTTCATTTCAACCCTGAACTATTCTCCTTTATTGATTATCAATATATGCTGTTTGCCAAACACCCAAATTTTGATCACATGACTATGGGACTGCTATGATGGTTGTAAGTGCAAGGACCTATTGTAAGTCACTTTTTGTAACTTCAAATAGTTGAATGGTTGGGATTCAAGGACTACCTGTAATATTGTGTTAGGAAACAGAGGCAAAACATGTTAGTCAAAGCAAGGGCATATTGACTTAAATGTCCTCTTATGCCATTAAGAAGCACTAGCACCCTTTGCTTTGGTGCTTTATATGCTAAGTAGGGAATTGTGGAGAATATTGTTGAGAGGTCTGTAGTGGAACTTTTTTTCTTCTTTCAGGTCTGACATACAATGGGAAAAGAAAATGGTGGACCGGCTTCATGCACCAGAGCTTATTAATGTTGCAGGTAAAATTCCTTTGTGGAATTCAAAATGTTTCTGAAATGGAAAAACCAAGAACCCAGGAGTTACTCTTTTTGTCACTGAGAGAATAGCAGAGGATTTGTGATGTTTGAGACTTACTTTGGCATAACAAACTTCCTTAAGCACCTCCGTATAGTTGTAAGGGTATTGAGCAGTTGCTGGAGTATATGGGGGGACTTACTTTGAAGAGTTTATCCAAATAAAGCCTGTTCTGTTAAGACTATAAAGGGAGATAGCATGAAGATATTGGGTATTCATATAGATTTTGAGAATACTATACAGGTATAGAAATTAGTTTAAACACTTTTGCTCTGCTTTCCATGGTAGAGGAGGGTGGTTTGCTGGGGATGGCATGAGTCTTTACGAAGGAGTTCTAGTGAACATAATCACCTAATCTGCTCAGCTCGTGATTTTGTGATTTAATTGATGCTCCATTTCCTTCTTCCCATTTTTATGCAGGTTTGACTCCACCAGCCACTCCACCCCATCAGCTGTGGAAACCTTTGGTACCTGCCTCATTGCTGGGACAGGATGGGTCCCCAAAAGATAGCCAGTTTTTGAAATCCCTAAGCAAATCTCACTGGAAAGCTGTAGTCCCTGTTCATGTAGGCGCTGGTGAGCATGACTATTGTCAACTAACTGTTGCACAGCCAAAGGGAGGTGCCAAATGGAATGTTAAACAGAACTTGGATATCACCATAAAACCTATTAAGACCTTAACAAAACAAGTGCTAGATCAGACCTCTGCTGATATAAAGAGGCCCCCTGCTACTGTTAGGCTGAAGCCTGTAGTTCCTACTTGCCAGAATCCTAGAGAAATTGCCAACCACATTAATTCCAACAAGGGCCAGACCAAAGATTCCAGGACTGTTACGGCTGACTTGAAACCTACTATCCTAAATTCAACATTATTGGAGACCGGTCTCATACATCCATGCAAAGAGGCATTGGACCATCGGACTACTATTTCAAGGTCCATGACTAGGAGCAATGATGATCCATGCTCTGTACTGCTGTCACCAGCTGCATCCCCTTGCCAAGATTCAGGAGAATCGACATTACAGCAACTTCAGGAGATACAGCAGAAACCACTCGCTTCGAAACGCTCCTTAAGATGCTACCGGAGCAGACAGAGGTCAGTTAGTCCGAAAAGCCAAAGGGGGAGAAGCCGACGAAACCATGCTAGCCGGTCCTTCAGTTCAAGCTCTGATGGTGACAGTGATACTTCATCGTCCTCTTCATCGTCGTCATCCTCTTCATCACAATCACGTTCTCGGTCTCCACCATCCAAACACTGGCGAAGGTGAGTCATATTTTCTTTTCCCCCTTGAGTAGATTCAGTATTTCAAGAATTAGGTGTAATTTTTGCTGAAACAATTGTTTTATATCATGAGGTGCCATGCTCAGGAAGGGATTCTATTTGAACAAAATTAATGTAAAAAAATATTGTTTGTGAATGGCTGGCACAAATACGACCTCTGGCAGATGTCTATGAAGATTCTCAATCATCCAGGTCATGGTTGTCCCAAAGGTACTTTTCAAAAGTCTGGTTATCTTTTGAAAAGCACCTTTGGGAAGATCTTTGATAGACTCCACTTATGACATTTAAAGGATGTCATAAATTCTTTACAGCTTTTGTTAACTGGTTGCTGTTTTAGGAATGGCAGGAATGGATGACTATATATATTTTAGGAATGGCTGTATGTATGAATTAGGATGCCCAGGGTGATTTTTCTCTCAGAGCAATTAATTCCTCCTTTTGGAGATAATGTGTAAGCTGTCCAGTTTGTCTCTAGCTTTCTTTTGTCCTCATTTTAATTGCCTAAATTTTTTTTTTTTCCTGAAAACCACAATTAGGTTTAATATTTTTTTCATTGGCTTTGTTTGTTTATTTTTCTGAAGGTTTTCTATTTTAGTTTAGTAAATAATATGCTGAACCATATATTGTTATTTGCAAACATCAACAACTGGTTCAGTGCACTATGTTAAGTTACAAATTAGGTGAATCACATTATGAGTTAGTATGTGATCCTTCTATTATAGCATGAGAAAATAGTGGGAAATTGTTTCAAAATTGTTAGTTTGTAGATCAGTCTTATCAGACTTGCTAATCCTTATGAATTATTGCAGTTTTTTTTCTATAAATAGAATATAAATAAATGCAAAATATATATCAAGCAAATAAATTCATATTTTCTACTTAAAAAGCTTGATTTCCCAATTTGCAATAGAATATAGTGCCTGACCATATGTGGCACTTAACAATATTTCATCTACTTTAAGAATAAAATAGCAGAAAGCTGGTGCACATATGTTTGAAATGCTGTTGGAAATGTGTTTATTTCTTGCAACATAATCTGTTTTTGTACAGTGTCATATTATTTGTTCATTTAGCTTTGTAGTGTTTAAACTAACTAGAGATTAAGGTCTTTAGTATCGCCTACTACTAATCTTTTTAACTAAAGATTCCTGCAATGGAACTTGGAATCTTCTAAATACAAACCACAGGCCTAACTCCTGAGCTATGATTACTTTTTAGAACTTGATAAAAAGATTTAAATATTTTTGAAAATATTTGGACAGTCATTTTCAGCAAATGCTGGCATACATCTTAATCTGTCCTATAGCAGATGTTCTTCCTAACCTCGTAATTTTTTGTTCTTTTGAAAAAGATTGAATGCTCACACAAACATACAAGTTACAATTGACCCCCAAAAAACCAACTGTGGCTAGATACTAGATACTGATCTAATAGGTGATCATATTCAGGTCTCCTTCTTCTCCCAGATGTCGCTCACGGAATTCCAGCTCTTCTTCCACTAAATGGAGCCATTCAAGGGGCAGGTCCCGCTCTCCCTCCAATTCCTCTTACAGGTCAAGATCATCTTCCAGGTCCCCTTCTCCGCACAGAAGGAATAGTTGCAGGAAAAGGTAAGAAAATGGAATTGTCCTTTCCTTGATTCCTAGTTTTTTGAGGCATTGAAATATCTTAGCAAAGTTTCTGTTTTTGGAACATCCTTGTTATTTTATAGCTCTTTACCTCCTAATCCAAACCCAAATTATTATTTGGGGATGAGATGATATACAGTGAGTCAAACAGATTAGTCTAGATTCTAGAATCTACAGTACATTATAATCAAACTATCTTACAAGCTGAAGTATTGTCTAAGAAATCATGTCAAATTACTCACAATTTAGATTTTCTTCTCTTTTTGGACTTTTTTGGGGTATTTTCCCCCATTGGTTTATAAGGTTTCAAAGCATGCCTGGAGAAAATTTGGCTTTTTATATGAGGTTGAACTACAATTGTTAGTATTTGTCATGGTAATTAATGCTGGTAGTCCAGTAATGTCTGGAAACATAAATTACTCATGTCTACTTGAAATATTTGGCAAAACCCCGTGAATGTTATATAAAGATTCTATCTAATGCAAAGTAATAAGTTATTTTTGAAAACTGAGTTTTTTTGTGATATTTCTTCCCATAAGTACTGTTTTCATACTAATTTGTTTTTTCTCTCTCAAAGAAGCCATAATAATACTGTGTTTAACCTCAGATGCATACAATAGGAAAATCTGTGATTTCTTTTCTCTATGAGCAATTCTTGTACTGTCATTTTTTTCATCTAGATACTTAGAATCATTGCTCAAGACGCTTTCTTGCAAGCAACCTGTGGCCTGTGTTTGTCTTGTTTGTGTTCAAATATCAAATGGAGATATTCTATCTTGATTGCATTTCCTAAGCATTTCCATCAAGATGTTCTTTTTTATTTTTCCATAGGATAGGAAGGGTTATTAATAAACACTGAATAAAACTGTAATTTTGTATCTCTGGTGCTCTGGTTTTTTTTAAGCTACAATTCCAGCAGTTCCTATGAACATTACCAAAGGCAGAAAAACAAATATAAAGAACGTGCAATCGTGAGTATATGTATTGTACAATAATTTTGTGGGAAGAATACAACCTCCATGTAAGGCTGTTTTTTTAGAGTTACTTTAAAAAAAAGTCCGTTCTATGTAGAATTTTCTTCCATAGAAAAGAATTGCAGGGGAGTAAGTTTTACAGAAACATTTCCATATATCAGACATGGATTGAGCAGAATCCATATTGTTTGCTAAATCCAATAGTATTATCCAACTTTAATAATTCAGATTCAATCATAACCACTGTTCCCTTGTGATCCACACCCTAGGAAGGATTAGTTCAGATCATGGTTTACTAAGAAAGTGGGTTGAATTGTCTGGCAAGAGACAAGTGTCCAAGTAATAGAGCTGTGACTGAATACTGGCCCTGAATTGTGTGCATAGGAGGAACGCCGCGTTGTCTTCATTGGTAAGATCCACAACAGGATGACACGATCAGAATTGCGACATCGTTTCTCTGTTTTTGGGGACATTGAAGACTGCACACTGCACTTCCGGGAGCATGGGTAAGGGGAAGCTCTGACTTTGGGCAAGTGTCAACCTCCTGGGTAATATTGAGCTAATGAAAAAGGGAGAGAAAGGAATGTGGTGTTCAGAAAAAGCAGCAATTCTTCTCTTTACTTCCTTGCTTAGCCTGCATTATATATATATCATGACTGCAGAGTCTTTTAATGCATAACTGTCCTGCTTGGTAGGGATAACTTTGGCTTTGTGACTTATCGATATGCTGAAGATGCCTTTGCTGCTATAGAAGGTGGACATGCACTGCTTCGTCCTGATGAACAGCCATTTGATCTGGGCTTTGGAGGACGTCGACAGTTCTGTAAAAGAAGTTATGCTGACTTAGGTGAGTCCATTGTGGAGATCGATGAGTTGAAACGCTGGGTATCCAATGATACATTTTTGTGCAGAAGATTGGAACAAAAATCTGAAATACACATGGACTGTGCTCCCGAATGAAAACACAGAAAGTTTGACCTTAAGTGTTGGAGCTATAGGCTAAACTACTGTTTGGTTTGCATTGTATTTTGTCTTATAAGGCCTATCTGTGCACGAGTTTAGATATTGTGGTAAGTCACATTGCTTTGACCCATAAATTATGAGTTACAAATAACACTTTTTATGGCTTCATGTAGCTCATTAAATAAAAACCAGACCCACAAAATGACTTAACATGACATGCAAACCTAGTCATTATGAACTAAAGTCTGTGTGGAGCAAGGAACTAACACTTCTAATGTGCATATCTGGTTGCTAGTTCTGATGAATTATTGTTCTTGTGGTTTCAGATTCCAGCCAAGATGACTTTCAACCTGCCCATCTGAAGAATAAATACGATGCTCTTGACTTTGACACCTTATTGAAGCAGGCTCAGCGAAGTCTGCGGAGGTAGCGCTAGTTCTCCTGGGCTCCTAGTTGCCCAGTAGGCATCTGCCTACACCAGCCTTACCTCGGATTGGTTGCAGCCCCCCTCTAGCCCAGCTCCATGTCGAGCATGATTTTATAATGAAATATAAAACATAAAAAAATTTATTCTAGGTTTTTCCTAACAGCTATTTAATGGAAGGACCCTTGTTTAACAAGTGGGGTAGGAATGGAAATACATTGACAATTTCTAGTCCACTTAATTGCTATGCAGACAATAAAATTGCAATTATAGACTTAACATATCTATGGCTGTTTCTCATTCTATCACTACAAGGGTTAATTTTAATAATTGTTTTTCAAAGTTAATCACCCACCCAAAACAGACAGCAGACAGTGGGTGCAATGGCCAATACTCAGGAGGCGGGGTGGGGGAAGATGGCAGGCAACAATGGAGCAATTACAAGCTGCCTTCATTATTTAAAGGATTGTAGGCTTTACATGGCTGGGAATGAAATGCTGCAGAGAACATTTTGTGTTTCTTGGATAACTTAGCTCAAGGGTGTCAAACTCATGGCATCACAGCGGTATCATGTGACATATTGCGACTTTTCCCCTTCATTAAACCAGGCGTGGGCGTGGCCAGCACGTGACGCATCCAGGCCCCGAGTTTGACAGCCCTGGCTTTGTTCTCTTACTAAGAATCCCTGCCTATTCTTACCTTTTAGTTTATTCTGTCTTTCATCTCTATAAATCTCTATAGCAAACAATTAAAATTCTCCTTTTATCTTGATTAACAAATTCTACAAAAAGGTTATGGTTAAAGATGTGGATAAAGATGTGAACTCAATGTTATTTGCATTTTATGCAAAAAATAATTGCATATTCTGGTTTTCCTAGTGATTTGCAAAAACAAGGAATTATTCATGCCATTGAGCCCTATCCTGAGCATTTTACTTTGGTTGACTGTGTTGTCTGAAACCTCATTTCGTTTTGCTGGCTAAAAGTTCCAATGAAATAAAAGTTTGCTAGTTTTGCTTAATTTTGACACATAAACTAGATTCTATCCAGTAAAACATTGTTCCACATACTTCTGAACTGAAACATGAATTAATTTTACTGGTAGCCCTCAGTTTAACTGTTTGTATAACAATGGTTCAAAGTTAGGGTGGCTGAAAAAAGTTATTTACAACCTGTCCTCACAATTACACCCATTGCACAACCCTCACAGTCATGCAATTCCAATTTCAATGCTTGGCAACTGGCACACATTTACAATTGGTTGCCTCATCCTGTGGTCACATGATCCCAATTTGATACCTTCTCAGCCAGTTTCTTGGGGTGGTGGTGAAGACATCAACTGGATTTGCTTAGAGAGCCTATGAGTCAATTATGATTATTACACGGTTGTAATATTGGGTCCATTTATGTGATGACTCCACTTGCAACAGAAATTCTAGTCACATGGTCCAAAAGTTGAGGACCACTTATATGAAGCAGTTCTTGCCCATGACCCTTATTCCATCCTCTAGAACTCAAACCAGGGTTCAACAGGTCTGTGCGCTGATTTCCATTAATGGGATTGTACTATCCTATGTGTTCCATCCTAAAATCATCTACAAAACAGATTTGAAAATGTTAAAGAAAATGTGTTGTCAGCTAGAAGCAATAGTTCAACATGAGGATTTGTGCAAGGTGGGGGAAGGGAGATAACAACAAAGGACAGAACAGCAACTCACAACCTGATAATTTACTCAACCTGTTTTGCCTTAGTTGTTTGTAAAAGCCCAGCCAAAGTGATGACAGTTCTACTTGGATACTCACAGCAGGTTTTCAGAGATGCTGTTTCTATGGGAGATATTCTACCTTGATGCATGAGAATAGTGTTGTTTGCCACTTGATGGCATTAGGCATAAATCAAAGAACATACTGAAGCCAGAAAAAAATTGACTTATTATTTACTACTACTATTACTACCACCACCACCACCACCATGGGAAGACAATATCCTCAACTAATGAAGGTCTACCTACCTATTTTTTGGCTATGTATATGGAATTGCCCATTGCTTCGTTTTGAAGGGACTGCTTGCAAGGCTTGGATTTTACAGTATGAATAGAACATGGTTTCATATTACACTATTCATGCCACAGTATTTTATTTTATTTTTCCAGTAAAAGAAATACAGAATTGAAGCATGTTGTACTAGCATAATTTCAGGATTATGGTGGAGGTTTAAACTTAGCAGCCCAGTCCACCTGTCCCAAACATAGACATAAAGCTACTGTATGCAACTACAGCTCTAATGACTCCAACAGCAAATGTTTATAGGAGTACTGTTTAATTGATTGAAACAGATGATAAGTCAAAAATTCAGTTGTGGCATGTCAGTTTAGAGCAATTCGGATCCCGGATTGCTTTGAGAAAATTCGTTGTGATAATCACCTTGGTTACCTAGAAAATATATAAATGTCTATAAATTCATGGTGCCATCTAGTGCCTGAATGTAGAATTTAAAAAATCCTCAGTCTTCACCAAATGCATTCCTGTTCAGTACATCCACTCCCAAGTTAGTCATTATTCTATATTTCATCATTCTTCACACCATTTTCTATGTTCTCCTTCTTTTGACCAAATGCCAGAGTTTGGGAGCTTGTAAATTCTACTGCCAGGATGCTTCCTCTCCTTTCCACTCTTTGCCAAGATTTCTATGTCCCCTGGTGGCACTTGTCAGCCTGCTCTGATAATGTGTGGCTGCTGCTTTTTTTTACATTTCACTCTGTGTTTCGAGAGTGCAGCTCACTGCATATGTGGGTTGATGACAGGATGCATCTTTTTCCTATATAACTAAATTACATTTAATAGCAGTAAATACTACATGCATGAATAGGAGAAAAGAATTGGACACTTTAATGAATGTGGAGCAGTTCTTTTAGCCAGTTCCATAAATGAATAACAGCTAATGAAGCTCTTTGCATAATCCATCTCATTCAGTTGCTGGATACCTGGAACTTTTGTACTAGATTTTAATGTGTTACTGCTGAGACCCAAATATGGACAGGCTTGAGATATACAAACAAAGGGAATAAATAGGAATATGACTCTATCTTATACAACCCACCAGATCAACATTGCCTTCAAATAGTCTAGAATCATGGTTGTCAAACTTGATCGCGACATAGCACAATGTTTTTTTGCCTTTGTGAAGCCAGGTAAGTGGGTCACCAGTATGACAGGCCTGGGATAGAAGTTGCAACTTGGCTCTGTAGATGAGGCCATTTCTGAGACTTTCTCTAATGCCATGAAATTCTTTTTATTTGTACATTTTTATCCATTGCAGTGTAGTTCTATAAAATACTGGTTCTCTGACTATATTATTGTAGTTCAACCCTGAGGTCTGAGAATCTTCTCTATAGTAACAGTTTCTTTTGAACATACAAGAAGCCACAGGACAGGTAGTCACCATTACTAAAATTAAAATCTGCAGTACTACAATATGCAGCATACTTTTTAGTTTGTCTTTCCTCTAGACCAAGGGTCTTCAGACTTGTGGACTTCAACTCCCAGAATTCCTGAGCTAACATGAACTGGAGGAGGAATTCTGGGAGTTGAAGTCCACAAGTCTTAAAGCTGTCAAGTTTGAAGACCCTTACTCTAGCCTAATATTTTCTTTACTTCGCAAGTAGTGTAATCAATAGTTGTCTTATAAGCCAATATATCTGAAGAGTGTAAGATTTGGAAAGACTCCTGTATATTTATTGTGTGCACTGTTGAATTGAAACTGGAATTCCCAATTTTTTTTATTATACCAGATGGAGAAACCACATTGGCCCATTGAGCATTTCTATGCATAATTTCTCTTACAAGCTGCTTATCTGCTCTTCCCTAACAGGCTGATAACAGAAAAACAGGTTTTTCTCCTTATCCACTAGCTTCTCATTATGTTTGACTGTTGGGTTCTTACCAAATTTGAGTCTGGGAGCTAAGCAGCAGAGCTCCAAATTTCTTTTCCAATTGATAGGGAAAGCTGAGTATCAGTTGAGCAAAGATGGGCAGAGACTTTGAGAGAAAAGAGGTTTAACATGTTTTTACATTTTTAATTTGGACTAAATTAAGTGTAGTTCTTAGTATGTTTCTATTCACAGAATGAGATGAAATAGATTATGTGAATGGCATTCAAGTCCATATCAATCTTTGAGTTTTGTTTCATTTTCTTGATGTGGTCATAACATCCTAAGAAAATAAGGTGATATTAAGTGCTTAAAGTTAATCTTCCTCAATAATCTAACCCATTTAGCTTTGAGTTCTTTTTTGCTGTTATCTGCTTATATATTTGTCACAGCAAACTGTCCTTATAGAAGGCGCAGATAGGTGAGAAATAGCATATCCTATTTAAAAATTAAAAATAAACTCTTGCCACAGAATTCAAATTTCTTGGTTATCAATTGTGGCGTTTTCACAAGGAGATTTAGAATTGCTAATGAGTTAGTGCCAACTTTCATTCTCTTTTCAGGATAATAATTGGTGTGAACTTTGTCACTTCCAAAGGTCCAAGGAGTTGCTTAAAAAATCTAGTATGTATGAGGGGAGTGACAAACAGCAGTTAATGAATAATATAGCTGGGGCTGGAAAGGTTCAAGTAGCCCTGCACAGGATTTGCAAGTGGAGATAGAAAACAAATGTGTTGAGGTTTATACTTTATTCCATTCAAAGCTATAAGACAGACATGAATGGAATCATTTCAAGCATACAGTGGCGCTTGGAAGTTTGGAACACTTTTGAATTGTCAATATTTTTGTATATATATAACTTAAAACAATCTGTTTTCACAGAACTTCATAAAATTAGATATGAATAAAAACATTATGCTTGTTTATATATTGAGGGAAAAAATCCAAGTAGTATTTCTGGTCTACATTTCACATGTGTACAGAATTCTTAGAGTCAAGGAGTTATTTTCTGGTTGTTGATTTTCTTCAATGTTGAAATAACATGAACTGCTAGATTCAGTGTCAAAAAGTTATGCTTTGGATGGATCCTTTGAGTAACAAAACTTCAATCACTTTTCCATATGTGTGCAGCATATCAGTAAAGATTTATCTTTCACTAGCATGCAAATATCTAAAACATGCAAAGATGAAGACAGACTTTGTTCAACCACTGTCAACTGGAATTACTTTATTTGAAATTTCAGTTTTTTCATGAGATGGGAAATCATTAGATGCGAATGCTGACCTGTTTGGGCTATTAATTATATTTACTTATCTACTATAAAATGGCTGGTTTGGGAGTATGG